ACATGGTACAACATTAACACCAATATAAATATGAGGATAAAACCATGCAGTATAAATATCAATAAACAAACATGCAATATAAATATCACTATAAAATCATGCAAATAAAATCAACACTATGTACCAATACACAGATTGATAAAACATAAAAACACAAATTTCCGCTGTGTGACAAATACGGTATGCGGCTCAATACGAAAAAGACCGAATACCTGGAAGGAGGCACCCAAACTGATGGCACCATCATAATTGACAACGAAGAGTTGAAGAAGACAGAAGAGTTCCGCTACTTGGGCTCAGTCATCAGCTAAATATAACCTCCGATGTCCGAGCACGAATAAATGCAGCCTGGTTAAAATGGCGACAAGTCACTGGTGTCCTTTGTGACAGAAGAATGCCAGATCAACTCAAGGGAAAAATCTACAAAGCGGTGGTCCGCCCAGTAGCCTTGTATGGTTCCGCATGTTGGCCCGCATTGACCATACATGAACAATCCCTAAACACCATGGAAATGCGCATGCTCCGATGGAGCCTGGGAATTACAAGACGGGACCGTGTTACAAACAAAGACATACGGAAGCGACTAGGTGTAACCCCAATTAAGGAAAAGATGCTCGAGTCCCGCCTGAGGTGGTATGGACACGATTCGAAGCGATGAGAACTCTGTAGCAAAAACGGCAATGATGATCGACCCAGAAGGATGCCGCCCTCGAGGCAGACCAAAGAAACGGTGGATGGACAAAATTAAGGACATTAAGGACATTAAGACCATCAACGCATCACCTGAGGACGCCTTGGACAGAACCAAATGGAGAAACCTTTGCTGAAGAGCGGACCCTGCACCAGCGGGAACAACGCCAGGATGAAGAAGAAGATAAGTCTTGATTTGCTTTTCAACATTTGAATGGTAGGGTAAGAATTTGGCATCAACAACATGGATCCATCATATCTTGCATCAACAGTTCAGGCTGCTGCTGCTGTAATAGTGTAGGGGATATTTTCTTGGCACACTTTGGCCTCCTTTATTTAAATTCCACTGCCTACTTGAGTGTTGACCATTCTTTTACAACCACAGCGTACCCATCTTCAGATAATGCACCATGTCGCAAAGCTCAACTCATCTCAAACTGGTTTCTTGAACAATGTGTCCAGTGTACTCAAATGTGAACTGCAGCTCCAACTTGTTTAATTCCATTTAAGTACGCTTGAAGTTATATGCTTCATTTCCTTTAAAATACACTTAATAGACCACCTTTCTTCTAGTTTCGAGATTAAGTCAACCCCAGAAAGGTAGGCACCTGTTGAGCTTATCCTAATAGCAAGATTCATATATTAGTCTGATGTGCAGTAGTTTCAGACTAATGTCTTCTTTAGCCGTGAAGTCTCAGACCCACCATATGTTTGCCCTTCTCCTTCAGAATCTACATTTTATTACCACCTAACAACCCATAGAGATAAGTTTATTATCAGCAGCTGCAAATCCAGCTCTAGCCTTTGCTGTGTTTATGATCCTGCAGAGACTACAGAGAAGTTTACATACAAGTGACCCTATTATTCACTAAGGAAGCAGAACCTTTCTGGCAGGAAATGCTCACGTAGTGCAGTGACTCAGGACAGAGCTATGAGTCTTTAAAGAGAGAGCATGTGTTGATGAAACCTTTGATAAGAAATGCATTTTGTCATCATAGGAGCAGATGTTAAACCTAATTTTCCACTTTTCCCACATTTATCCTTTGCAGAGAGTTTTGAGTGCAATTAAAATGGCTTTTCACACACAGCACTCGACACTTCTGATTCATGCGCAAGCACAGGCCGTGAGGTGATAAAGAAATTAAGATATCTCTGTGTAATGTGCCATATAAATGTCAATAATAATATATGACGACCTTACTGCGTTTGAAATTACTCAGTTTCAGCAAAAGGGAATAAATTCATAAGCACAGATGACTCCCACACAATTGTGTCATCAGTTTATTTTCGCTGAGTGAGAGGTTCTCCTTACATATGTTCCTCCTCCCTGTGAGCTTGGTGGATGTCCTCCCCCCACGCCCAAGGTAACATGGAGGAATCAGGTTCAAGAAGGTCAGTAAGTGGGTGTGGAATCCATGTGTTTCCCACGCGGAGTAACTTGAAACTCAAGCACTGAGAAACATCAGTTATTGCTCACAGAACTGGAATTCAAGTAGACCCAAAAGGACCACCTTTTGTGATGAGGCATCAGGCTTATTGAAAAATAAAAACACTGGTGGGGGAACTCCAATCCTTTACTTAAGCACAAACGCATATCAAATCCAGCAATGTTACCACAGAGAACAGAGAATCCAAGATGTTGAGCTGACTTCAAAAGTCCCCAATCCGACAGAGTAATGTCACAACAAGCCTGATCTTTGGAGGACGTTGGAGGCCCTGCAATACAACCGAGAGAACCCAGAAGATCTGCTAATGTTCCAGTGCCAGACACCACAGGACACCTCCTGAGGTTCTTGACCAAATGAGTGAGAGCTCTTTTTGTAATATAAGGATACAACTTTTCAGAGTGGTGATTGTGTTGTCATGTCAAAGCCCTTTAAGTCAGAGCATATAGTTTTAGGATTAGATGATACGTATTAGATGGCGATGACTATATGATTTTCCTGTTGCTTTTCTGCATTTTATGTAGCGTTCTAACCTCCAAGTCTGAGGCCATAGTTTTGAGTTGGAAAAGGATGGAGATTCCACCTCAGGTCAGGGTTGAGTTGCAGTGGAGGAGTTTAAGATTCCCAGGGTTTTGAGTCAGAGATTGACATGGATTTATCGGTTGGTGTCATGTCTGCAATGATTGCACTGGATCGATCTATGTTCCTACCCTCACCCAGGGTCACAAGTTCTGGGTAGTGACTGGAAGAATGAGATATAAGCGGCAGAGAGATGAGATTCTTTGAAAGGGCGTCTCTCTCTTAGAGATAGAGTGAGGAATTCAGTAATTTGTTAGGATCTTGGAATGATGCCACTACTCCTCCCCATTAACAGAGGTGGTTCAGGCAATGGATGGATGGATGAATCAGCATTTGAGCATTCTTGCATTTAGAGAAACACTGCTAGATTTTTAACATAAGCTCTTAAACTGAAATGTTGAGCATAAAGTCACATAAAATGGAAACATCTAAGAAAAAAAAAATACTCCAAATTATAATTCCTGGGTTGGTTTCCACCACTGCGGGGGAAATTTCATCAGCACCAGAGTGGGAAAATGTTGTGGGAGCTGAGAGAAGAGATCCGTGTGGTTGAAATGTGGCAGAGCTGTGGATGGAGAAAGAGCTCCCCGTGTGAACCACCATGTTTCCTATGTACCTCTTACGGCAGAGCGGATTTACCACAACACTGTCAGAACACATCAGCTGCAGTAGCCCTGATGACCTCCACACTCAGGCTCTCCCAACACAGCCCTGGAGACACACCACAGGCCTGTTGCTTTAGTCCTACTCCCAGCGGCCTGCTCAGCCTGCCTGGGTCTCAGCACAGTGGAGAGGGCTCCCTAACACAATACTCCCACCCCTCAGTTTAATCTAGGGGAAAATGATGACGTGGATTAAGCATTATCCATGCTGGCGTTTGGGAGACTAGACAGAAATAACAGCAAAGGGTCACATGGGACATTGCAAAAAGTTTTTTTTTAAAGGTTGCTCTATTGTAGCTGGAGCAGAAATGGCATTGAGCCCTTGAGCTATAGCTCCTGCTGCTTTGTGAGAAGAATAATATCCTCTGAACATGCCCACTGACCTCTTTGGGTTGAGAGACTCAACATATTCTGTAATGTCTTCCTTCTACTAGGTGGCTAAAAATGTGTCATGTCATCACTATATTCTCTTCTCACAATGGTATGCAGCCTGTCAACAGAGTGAAAGTATTCTTGGTTGTCACCTGTTCTTTTAGAGATGAAGAGGCATGAATTTCTGTCGGGTCAGGAGCAAGAATGCAAAAGAAGCAGTGAGAAGTAGAGAGATAAAGACACATGCATGTGGCTTGACTGACACCGGTTCAGGGTTACGACCTGTCTGCTTTGCCACTTTCTATTACACAGGGGAAATGTAAATCATTGCACTGAGCCTTGGTGAGTTTTCTGTTGAATGGGACAGCTACTGAGTTGGGGATTTCGAAGGTTTTTCCCCCTAAAGTAGACACTTAACAAGGGCACAAAGTGTCCTTTTAACAGCCCGCTGGTCAGTGGACACAGCGTCATGACACCAAACCCTGGAGTGACACAAATGATATGTTGTTACCAGCTTGCAGACATCACAGGCAAGGATGAGGACAAATGGAGTAATTTTGCAAGTACATCCTAGCAGGATGGTCAGTGGTAGGGTTTATTGAGTCAGCCGAGGCAAGAGACTTAAATAGTGGCAGTATTTTGGAATAAACATTATAATTTTTGAGTTGTATTAAAAAGAAAGCATGCCAAATGCTTATTTTCACCAGTTTCTCACACTTTTGTTTAACACTATTCCTGTCATTGATAAGATATTCTGTCAATCAATGCTTTTACTGTTACACAGTAAGGAGCATTGTTATATATCTAATTAAATAACACAGCGTGTTAGGTCCAAAGCAGACAAATATAAATATGTGATTGGTGTTTTTATATGATTATGATCAACATCCATTCATGCTGATTAAAGAAAGAATGAATAGGCGCAGAAGCTGTGACATCTCTTGTTGCAGTGACTAATCTGTTCCATCATGTAAATATAGTCTATAATTTGCACACTTTTTTCCACAACATTAATGTGTGTTTGCTACCTTTGGAAACGTTGCAATTTCAATAAGAACTTAAATAACTTAATCTACACTTTCTTAAATGAAAATTAAAGCAGTTTGCATTTTTACACCCATCTGCAGATACCGTCAGCATTACTAAGATTTGAAATTCATGGCAAAAACATCCACAAAAGATGAGTAAGAAGCAAAGATAGCCTCTGATGAGGAAAGTTTGCATTGTTTTAATGCTTGTGTTTACTTCTTCTTTATGTCAGAGCCTACATGAATGGACCAACTGGTTGTTCTACATATTTTCCCTCTGCTCCCTGTTCACAATAGAGTTATGGTATGTAGAAGATGTTCTCCAAAGCTCTTTGTAGGACCAGCAAACAACCATGCCAGTCCCTTGAATTTCAGGTCATTTTTAAGCCATCCAGAGACAATATTATAGTATTTTATTTTGCTATAGCATGGTATATTATCACTTTGGATAACTGTGCTTCTGTGAAAAAGCCCTGAAAATAACTACAGACACACAGTTAGCAATTAGCTGGTAAACATTTCCCTCAAGACCAGCGAGAGACTAAAAGCAGAGCTAAAAGAGAGTGATTTAGACATATATTAGCCAACTAGCCAAAATTGGCTTCAAGTGAATACTTTTATATTTTGTATAAAAGTTGATGGTTATATTAAACATCATCAATCCATCCATCCATTAAAGTCCAGGTCAGAAGAAGAGCCACTGAAAGATATAATCTCTGTAGTGTGTCCTGGGCTGCCTCGTGGTTTCCACCCAGTTGGACATGCTCAAAATATCTCACCTAAGAAGCCTCCTGGTCAGATGGTTGTACCACATTAGCTGGCTCCTTTGGATGTGGAATAGCAGCAGTTCTACTTGGAACCACTCCCAGATGAACAAGCTCCTCGTGCTTTCTCTAAGAAAGAGCCAAGATACCCTTCCAAGGAAGCTTATTGGTAACCACCCTACTACTACCAACAGCTAGTGGCCATAGATAAGTGCGAGCATGTGGACTGACCAGTAAAACCTAGTATTTCTGCTCAGCTCTGTCTTTACCACTGCAGACTGTCTGCATTACACCAGGCCGTCTGTCATTCTTAAACTCTATCTTTCCCCCAAATACCTGAACTTCACTTGAGGAAATAACTCCTGTAAAGCCCTTTTCTAGCTTGGAACCATGGTTTCAGACTTGGAGGTGCTAAGTTATCACTTGACTGCCAATCGCCACAGTGCAAGCCCGAGGTCACTGCTCGATGAAGCCAACCGCAGCACCGTATCATCCATCAAAAATTATGAACAGAATTGGTGATAAATAGCAGCCCTGATGTTGGAATACACCCACTAGTGACAACAACACTGGCTTAGTGCAATGTGAACCAAGCTCTCACCATAGCTGTACAGGAACCAAAATTAGCTTTGACAACATGAAATTCCAGTTGTTAAACTAATTTAAACATATTTGGATCAGTCCTACATACAACAGAAACAGAGCACCATCAATCTAATACACAGGTGAGCAGTGTTTTTTTTTTTTTTTCATGTTTGTTGCGTGAGCAGCAAAGGTTGCAGAGCCAGTCTGCAGACAGCTGGCTTCAACGTGTCTGATCTCGTATTACAGGTGTGAAAAAATAAACTCAAGCATATTAAGCCTGTTTTTCCCCACCAATGCGTGCACTCTGTGTCATCTCCTTAAACTATCTGTAGTTATTTAATGTCAAAAAAACATGTTTGGGAGGGGCTTTATAGTCTCACAACAGCCTAAAAAAGTTGAATGAATACAGAGCCATTGTTTGCAAGCTTGGGAACGGGGTTCCCAAAGGACAAGACATGACAGAAAACAGGGACTGTGATCAGGGTATTTGGGTTTAAACTAGCATGTGGTTCTCATTGCTGCGGCATAGTGAGTGATCATTGTGTACTAAAGCTTTAACTGGCCCCAGCCTTGCACGTGAGCTGATCAAAACCACATGTTCCAGTGCGATTGTGTCTGTGGGCTTGTAAAGATGGAGCTTTGGCTGAAGAGCTGCGTTTGGCTCACACAGACATACAGAGCACTTTCTGCATGTTAAAAACATTTTTTCCACTCTTGGCTGATGCAACATAGTACAACTTCCACATGGAGAGTATTTTCCCTGACTAAGGGGTTTGGGATCTGATTTATAGTACAGCACCGTTGTTCAAATGAATCTGAGGAGTGAGGCTTTGTTTTTCTAAGAGCCCTCATTGAGTTAATATTCCAACAGCAATCAAAGAAGAAAGGAAGTTATTAAATTGATTATCCAGGCTATAAGCAAAAGACTATTTGGAGGCACTGACAGATTCTTTGCAGAGTTACCATTAAGCTCAAAAAGATAGGCTGAACTATTTCTACATAATTATTTTAATTTAGCAGCCTTTGAAATGCAAAGATTCTGTTTAAGAAACTGTTAGGACATCTGCTTTGTATTTCCACAAGCATTTTTCTTGGTCTCGTTGCTTTAAAAAAAAAAACAAGCTATGATCTATTTCGGATAAAAACTCACAAAATGTCCTAAATAATAATTATAAAGCTTATGATTGCACGTTTTTATTGTTTCCAAAATGTTTCTTCTTGTCCTGCGTTGGCGTGCAAATTTGTAATTCGTGAAAAGTTTTCTTACACTTAAAAAAACCACTTAAAATGTAAAAGTCGATTAAGAGCTTGTCCAAAAATTGAAGCAAAGAGGGAAATTAACAATCAATATCAGTTAGCCTATATTTCCACTGCTCCACCTGGTAACTTTCATTGGTGTTTATAGTTTGTTTAATAAATGATCTTTTATTCAAGTTAACATTTTGTGTTCACATACCCTGAACCACTGTGTAAGACAAATAGGGTCTTGTCCGGGATTTGAACCCAGAACCTCTGACAGCCCTCCACTTGTTTATCTGGGCTGGCTTTTATAGTCTGAAAGGTCCAGGCGAGCTGCATCATCTCCCGACCCTCCCATGTCAGCCAGTTATTGGTAAGAGTGTGGCAGGACTTTCCTGGAGACTTTGTTATTTCACTCCTACAAACATATGAAATCATCTTTAATTCAGTCCACATGTTTTAAAGATATTCATTACATAGATCACATCATTATATGTCAGTTAATCTATAAATGTTAGATGTGTGCTAAAGCATAAAGCAACTTTTCAATTTTAAGTTGTATTACTTTTAGCTACAATTAGCCTATTTAATGTAAAAACAAACAAACAAACAAACAAACAAACAAACAAACAAACAAACAAACAAACAAACACACACACAAGCAAAAAAGCAAACCGAAAGAATCCACTACTTATAGCTTTATGCTGTTCTAATAATCATTTCAACTGTGCATTAAATACATTTTCAGTTATTTTTCTTTTAGATGTTTGTTTTAGTCTTTTATTTATAACTTTCTGTAAATCTGTTGCTTAAATGTGTTACCTTTTCCTTTTAATTCTGTCCATGACCTACCTTTTCTTAATGTTTTTTACAGTTATCACTACAAGCAATCCCATACGTAAATCCAGCATCTTAAGCTTTTTCAACTGTAAACCTTTTTAAATAAGTGTATTCCATTATTTTGATAACTTCTTATTTGATTCTGGGGGTGAATGGCTGGAGCCTATCCCAGCTATCATAGTGGAGTCTACCTTGGACATGATATTATAAGTTTATACTGGTTAACTGTTTACAACTTTAAGTGCCATTTTAACTTTTCAGCTTTCTGTCATTATACTCACCTGAAAGCTTCAACCATTTGTTTATTGGCTTTATTTTTGAAACGATGGACTTTCACAGCTGATTCCTGAAGCATTTCCCAATTGCTTTCTATTCCATCAGTACTGCAGAAACATAAAGATTCAAATGTGAATTAGTCAAATCTATTTTGTATCATCTGAGTTTCTCCACAAGACCTGAATACCTGACTTACACTAAAAGGTGAGTATATGACGATGAGGTGTTCAAGGGAGTGGTATGTGTTAGTTGGGTGATAAACGAGGGACCGTTTGTGGGCAGGCCGAGGTGTTCACAGTGTTGCTGCCCCGAAGTCCCCTGGAAAAAAGCCAGCTGCAACCTCACGGAGACATTGTGCGCCTTATCTCCAGCAGCCAGGATGCTGATTACAGGGCGACAGTAGAGGCATGCGCATATATCCTGGTCTGTGTCAGAGACGGTATGGCTGTGCATCTGCCTCCATGGCACCACAGATATTCACAAAGTCATTATAATGTCACTCACTGTAATAGGATGGTGGACTTTTGAGGCAGCAATGTTTGACAAATACTGTTTCCTTGGACACTGGTGGCATCAGGTTGCAAAATTGTTTTAGGTGATGCTAGCACTCTTTTATTTGTATTTTATACAGCCAACAATATCTTTGTTGGCTTAAAATCTAAATGCACATAGACTCTGTCAGCAGTAGACTTTTAATGTGCCTGGTTTAAAAACCCAGAGTTTTTAGGTTTATTGTACATACAAAATATTATAGTATATTATAATATTATATTATAATAAAAGTCAAGTGTTATCAGTGGTCTTGCTGTTGTGTCATGGATCAGCTTTGCTATCAAGTTTTGTACACATCGCCATCACATTCTTTAGACCTCAAAGTCCATTGTTTACCAGTGGTGCAAGTTTCAGTCAAATGTACGCTTTATGCATCATCTCCTGATCCTCCCATATAAACCCTATAAAGAGCCTCTACTCTTTATAAGGTTGTGGAAACCTGTAGTCAAGTGAGACCAAAGTAGTCACTTGGATGAGTGATGAAGTGTTTCTCCCCCTGAAAACGCTACATCCAGATGAAAAGAATAAACTTTTGGGGGGTTCTTCATTTGGAATTATTCCACTTTTTACATTTATAGCATTACATATACAGTAATGAGCAAAAGTCTTGAACTACCCATCATTTCTTCATATTTTGCTTCTAAGGAGCCAGACTTGTAAATTGTTAAAATTGTCTTGAGTAATACATCTTCAAGCTTTCTAAAGGTGTTTGAAAGTTTTTCTTTGGACATTGGCTGCTTTTTCACTCATTTTGTCCAGTCTGTGTAAATGACGATTTTCAGAGACTGTTTTGTTCGTTTTGTTCATTTGTTTGTTGGATAAGCGGAAGACCATGGATGGATGGGAACCATTTAACACTAACTTGTGAATCAAACACAAAAAGGCACCTAACTCAAAACATTTAAATCAACAAAAAAACAACAACAAAACAAAACGTTATATTAACTAATCGCTCCATATGTGGGCCAACGCCTGGTATGCCAGATTATAATCAAACCCTGAAGAGAGGTACAAGAGTGAGTTTCTACAACAATCTTTGGAGGCTCTGTCATGGTTTGGGTCAGCATTTCAGCCAGGAGTGTTTGGAATCTTGTCAAAATTGATCAAGTATGAACACAGAAATGTGTAATGCTATCTAGGAAATATCTGATTGTCTTAGAGAATTCAGGCTACTCATGTGCCAAATAAAACAAATGAGGCGTGGCTCAAGACCCATACAATACTTGGTTCTCAGATACAATTCCCTGCATAGAGTAGAACAGAAAAGAAATCTGAGAGGAGTTTAATGAATAATAACTTCAGTGTTTGTGTCTTTCCAACATTTTTCAATCATAGATTAATTTTACTCTCCTGGGATGAATAGTCACACTTATGTCAAACAAGTGGGATGTTAAAGGTCCTGAGATGTGTCAGCGTGTCAGCTGAGAACTGGACTGCTATTTCTGAAACTCTGCAGCTGCGAAAGAAAAGTGGCAAGAAGGTAAGTTAATGATTTGTGTCAACTATATTTGCTTCACAGGAATGTGACACCAGACACACAAGCAAAAAGTAAAATTTGACCCATGAACTCTCTGACTCTGGTTAAAAAAGACATTCCACACAGGTGTGTGCCAGAACAACAGACTTGTCTCTGCTCTAGATGTTTCCACACATATTTCTGATACAAAAAGGGCAAATACGTGAATACAATAAATGTCAGGAGATAAAGGAAACTGTACAAATACAATGCTTGCTTTTAACATTGAAGAGGATTAACGCTCAGCTGTTATCAAGTGCCTCCAGCAACCTCCAGGCTTTCTGTTTGTCTCCTCACCAGTTTGGCTCTCCTTTTGATCCACAGAAACAGAGCTCATGAAGCTCTTGCTCCCTTTTTCATACACTGGCAGTAAAAAAAAAA